CAATGTTTGAGGATCAGGTAAGTTGAGCATTAATTATTTTATCTCATATTGTAATCCGTAGAAAAATTGGCTAATAAGTGCAGTATCATCCCACTTGATATCAGTTGCAAGTTATCAAAATTGTGAAACATACAACGTTACTAATCGATTGCCTTGTCGTAAAATACGGATCTTATTGGTTGCAACACGAATTGTATCATGTTCTCCACATGTGGATCAAAACTCCGCCAAAAAAGCCTTTAGATTATCCAATATTAGATCTTGTCATTCAAAAAAAGATGAAAATCATGATAGTGCTGAACTTGAAAGAAGCGTACCAATGAATCTAACTTGTGATCCTGGAGTTGGATAGCTTTGGGGTTGAAGTTCAATCACAAGTTACACTTGTTTGATAAATCCTCAAAACTTGGATCTGGTGCCATCAAACTTCTTGGATAGGACAATTTTTGGTTCTATAACACTGGAAGGGCGTTCCGCCATAGGAGAAAGGACATGATTTTGTACAGATGTTGAAGCAGCTCCAACCATTTCTATATCTTCACTTCCTGCCAATCTTGTTGCTCCTTGTGGTGGTAAATTGAGTTGATGCATCGCAAGCATTAACTCCCTCAATTGTTCTTGCATTTGTGCCATTGTACTCTTCATTTCAACACTTAGAAAAGAAAAGATAACACTTAGAAAAGAAAAGATGTCTAATATCGCTCAAGTCAAATAGAAGAGAGGACTTGAGAATAAAGAAAATACTAAGGAAAATATCAGTTTAGAAGAGGGTAATCCGCAACTTCTAATATGCTTATATCTTATCAAGAAAAAGGGGTAATCCACTATTAATCAAGATTAGACAAAGCTCTGATATTGTAGGTGTACTCTTGTCAATCTATCAAGGCAAGAACTCGATGAAAAAGTAATTTAGTCAAGTGAGCCTTCACTCAAAGAAAGGTAATAAAATATAAATAAACAAGTATGTATATTGAAAGAGAAACTGAAATGGCTATTACCAAAAGACAATAAAATTAGAGACCCTTGAAACTAGACTGGAAGCAAGAAAGGAGTTGATAAGAGTGAAGAAGGCTTCACTCTTGTCTCTATATATACTATCTAACTAGGAGCTACATGGCGATGTTCTATAGAACCTCCAATATGTGTTGACTTTGTAGGACATATGCCTTGACTTACAAGGCAAATTTTTCTACATGTAGGCCACATAGTTAGCTTGGTCTTTAAGCTAACAACATGTGTGGCACATGGCCAACTTGTTGATCACATTTCTAATCCAAAAATTCAATTAAAGACACCTATGAAGTCAAAGCAGCATCTATAAAGCTTCTAGAAAGCTTCCATATTAAATACTATAGAATTAACTTACTTTTACCTACTTTTACTTACTTCTACCTATTTGTATATATAATTATGAGTATGTCTATGATACATATATGCCTTCTTGTCAATGAGCTCAAATAGTAGGCCATTGAGATTCTAGTACTAGAACCTAAGCATGACAACTAAATATTTATAAGTGAGATACATTAGAGATATGACCTGAAATGAGCTCTTGTGATGTAATAATTTCAAGAAAGGAGGGATAGAAGGTATTAATGTTACAACATGCAAAATTGCATGATCTCATATAGATGCAGATAAATTTGCTTGAAGAAGAAGTGATCAAGTAATAAGTTGTATATACTTTATAAATAACTCTACAAGTCCATTTTGAGCATGTTCATATAGAATACAATATGCCAATTCAATCCATGTTGCAATACCATAGTCTTCAAAAGATTTTGATTCAAATTCTTTTGCATTATCTATATATAATGTTTTGATGGAATGATTAAGAAAATAAGTTCAAAAATAAATAAGCATAGATATTAGATTGGCAAACACCATATTTTGCATTGATAATAATGAAACATGTGATTGTTTGCCTAATGTATCAACAATGTTAAAAAAATAACAAAATGGTCCAAATATTGGATTAATAGGACCACAAATATTACCATGTAATCTTTCAAGCATTAGTGGTAATTCTTATGGGAGTTTCAAAATTAAAGGTTGAACAATTATCTTACCTTATACACATGCACGACATAATTTCATAGAATCTATGTCTACAAGTTTTAAATTATATCTACTTATGCATGAAATTATCTTCCGAAATAATGTAGATCCTAGATGTTCTAATTGTCCATACCAAAGAGAAACACGACTCTTTGTGATAGATGATGCAAAATTAAATATAATAGGAGGCCAAATCACAATCCAATATAAACCATTTGTAACAACAAAGGCTTTTTCAACAATTTTATGATTTTTTGCAAAAATAAAAACCTCCCACTTATCTAAAATGGTGGTTGAGATGTAATAACTATTAGCATGCATATCTTGGTAGTTGATTAGACTCCGTGGTACTAAGGGTGCAAATATTGCATGTTTATATTTTATGATGGAACTCATAGGCAATTTTACCATTGCTATTTCTTCTTGAAAACAAAATATTTTTGGTCTAGCCATGGTCATGAAATTGTTAGTTTGTCAAGTTGAAAATTTTTCAGTAAAAAATCCTCTATCTTGCAAAATAGTATATATTGTTGTAGGATCAATGAGTGCATTATTTGATTCATCATTAGAGGTTTTGTCCTTCATGTAAGTTTTTAAATCATCAATACCAATTGAGTCCATGGATGCATCTATGGTATGAACTTCATGAGCCTTAGCTCAAAGTTTATTATTTTTTTGGAACATTTTAACAAAATATTCTAAAGTTTGGCATATATGTGCTAAATGTCCAATCATACCACATTTATAGCAAGAACACATCTTTGATTTTTATTTTTCATTGTAATTAGTAGTAGAATGTTTATTCTTTTTATATAGGCAAAAATGGTCATGACTATGGTTGCTTTGGTGCTTATGAGCACTATTTCCATGTTTGTATAATTTTTTCTTAGACTTTAAAATATTAAATGTATGAAATTCTGGAACCATGGTTCTAATAGAACAAGCTTTTGCATTATCCAAAAGTAGTTCATTTTGTTTCTCCACAAGAAATAGATAAGACATGAGATCAAAATGACTTTGAAATTTCATATTTCAATATTATTGTATAAGCACAACAAATGCAGGAAGAAATGTAGAGAGAGTTTTTTCAATCATTTTTTTTTTAAAAGATGCTTTGTTTATACAACTGTAGTTGTGAGATAATACAAATATTTTACTATTGAAAGTATTTAAAATTTGAAAATATAAGACATGTAAATGTGTCAAATCATGATATGCACATGGAAAGAAAATAGTCTTTTGATGATCAAACTTGGATTTAAGATTCTCCCAAAGCTTGGCTAAATCTTCCATATCTCAATATTAATATTGCAATATAGGTATACGATGACAAAAAAGAAAAAAAAGTGTTTTTCAAGAGATAGCAAGAGGAATAGAAAAGTCATGGATATATACCTATTCATTACCTAGGTAGGTAGAATTAGATAAAAGTAGATTAATTTCATAATACCTTCTAAAGAAGCCTCTTAAAAGCTTCCTAGATATTTTTTTTGATTTTGAAGTTGATTGGTAGTTTAGAAACTTAGTCAACAAGCTATCCATGTGTTACATATATTGATAGCTTGTGGAACAAGCTAGCTATGTGGCAACCATATAGAAAACTTGCCTTGTAAGTGAAGATACGTGTTATGCAAAGTCAACACATTTTTGGAGGTTCTATAGAATGTTGCAACATAGATCCTAGGTAGATAGTATATATAGAGGCAAGAATGAAGTTTTCTTCACTCTTCTCAATTCCTTTCTTTTTATTAGTTTAGATTCAAGAGTTTCTAATTTCCTTGTCTTTTAATAATAGCCATTCAAGTTTCTTTTTAATATATATATTATTTTATTTCTATTTTGTCACTTTTCTTTTGATATAGATTTCTTAGGTTTATGTATCTTCTTTCAGTTTATGTCCTTGATTGATTGAAAAGAGTACACTTACAATATTAGAGCTTTCTCTTCTCTTGATTCAGAGTGAATTATCTTTTTTTCTTGATAAGATATAAGCATATTAGAAGTTGCAGATTATCTTTTTTTAAAGTAATATTATTCTTAATATCTTCTTTATTTTCAAGTCCTCTCTTTTGCTTGTCTTTAACAATATTGGATATTTGTTTTCTAAGTGTTATCATCGTAGAGCTTTTTCAAATGAAAAGTGCAATGGCACAAATGCAAGAACAATTCAAGGAGTTGATGCTTATGATGCATCAACTCAATTTATTGCCACTTATAGCAATGAAAATGACAGAAAGTAAAAATATAGACATGATTGGAGCTACTTCAATATCTACACCAAATCATATCCCTTCTTTTACAATAGAACATCCTTTGAATGTCCCGATGTAATATGACTATATGGTGAAAATATAATCAAAAATAAATTTCTAATTAATATCTAATTATTTTGGTTCAAAAATAATTCAAGATATTTAAATATGACTTTTATAAAAGCCTTTTAATTTATTTTTTTGTCTTAATAGTTAGTAGGTTAAAGGTTGATTAATAATTTTACCTTCTAGGCTATAGAAACTCTTTTACTATCTTAAAAAAATCATAAATTAATAAAATCAAATTAAAAGAAATAAATAACTAATATGATTGATACTAAAATTAAGTTGATGATAGGATTGGGCTATAAAATCTCTAAGATATCTCTAAGATATCTCTAGGTTAAATTGATATCCTGAGATTATACCATTTGTGAGACAAGGTTGAAATTAGACCAAGAATGTATTTTATTCTAGGCATGGCAATCTGTATCTATTCTAACTTACCTAATAGGCAATAGGATATATAGACGAGGCTTGGGCACTGTAATGCTTTCCGGACAAACTTCGATAGCCATGCATTAATCAGAGACACATACGACTTTCACGAGGAGCAATTCAAAGAAGGAAAGCGTGTTGTTTTCAAATAGCACGCTGGAAAACGATGACCATTTTGAGAACAAAAGCCTCTAAGAAAAATCAGTCGAGATGATGTATAAAAAGAAAAAGCAAAACAAAACAATGGCCTACTCTAATTCATGGGCAAATCCTCTATTCCTACATCCCGCAAGCCGATAAGAGTTAAGAATGCATGGTCGGGGCATTCCCATTCAATCTTGGCTGGGTTGGTCCTCATCCATTCCTGGCTCTGACTTTGGTTGTTGCTCCTGCGGTTCTTGGATGTTGCGTCCCAATTCATCCTTTATGGCCTCCTGTTGAGGGTCTTTAGGAGCGGGTTCAACACTAGGGAAGGCCCCAGAAGGTCGTTCTAAAGGTTCTATGTTCAATAGTTGTTCTGAGTTGCCTATAGCGTCGGCCCATCCGTAATGAGGCTCAGCCCTGTTGCAGCGTTTTCAATCCAAAGGTGTGTCAATTATAGAAAACGAAAACAACCAAAGACTCAAAAGCCAACTTTTTAGTGCAATATATCCTACGAGAAGACGACGGTTGAAATTGTGATGAACTGATTTAGCCGTTAAATTTGATAAGGTGGGTGCAGCTCTTACTGGTAATAAGTGCCCTCCTCAACAATATTATCCCAGTTCTCGCCGCTGGTACTCCTTCCATACTTGTGCACTTTCCTGGTGTACAACCAATCCACACCAATCAATCGACACAATAATTCGAAGCAATGCAGAGGAGCTGACGGTCGTGTAACCTTCCAGGTTTCACGAAGCTGCATACGAGGTCGCTTCTTAGCAGCTGCTACTGAATCACGGGAGAAGGCTCCAAAAATATTTCTTTGAATTCTGCTTATTTGATGTAATCTGCAATTCTGGTTGGTGACTAATTGAGCCACCCGTGCAGATCCAACGAACTGAGGAAAGAGAGGACTATCAAAAAGAAACTTATAGCAGGTTCAATCAAGTTCTAGCACCATTCAAGGAAATCCAGAACTAGAGGTTACCCGTTTCCAAAATGCTCCTCTCCCCATGTTCTCGACCAACCTGTACTCCAGCAAAGCTACGTCAGCTTGAATAGAATGTCAACTGAGAGAATCCATTTCCACGGGTCATAAAAATTGTTTAAATTTCTACTAGATTGGGAAATTTCACCACTACTATTGTACTTACCCTGAGTAGGACCTAAATCCTATAAAATTTAATTATCGCATGGGGTGAACTTCAGATCAAACTGTTCCACAAGTAACTTGCACAGCTTAACTCGAAAAGTAATCTTCTAAGAAACAAAAACGATTGAAAATCCGCGTGTCTCAGCAGACTGAGGGTCAAGAGGGTAGGTGCGAAATCTTACTGTGAAGATAAGCTCGCAGAACGAATACCCTACAAAGCCACATTGCGAAGAGAATGCTGAGACATATCCTAGTAATGCATAGAAGCCGTCCAGAGCACAATGCTGCGCCTTTTAATCAAAAGTGATGTACCTTTATCGTCGTTATGCCATGTTTCGCCTTGTCTTGTTCCAACACCATGGTTGAATTTCTCTTCCCACTTATCACCCCATTTCGTACCCGTGCCGTTCTCTGCCCACTTGTCCGTCCTGCATGATGTGTAAAGAACGATCAAATTTATCCAGAGTTCTCATGAACACTCATAACCTAAAATCTCACACTTCAACGAGCATATATTGAGATTTGATACTAGTTATAAAAGAAAAGAAATGGAAATATCTAACAAAGATCCAGTTAGGAAGCAAAGATGCTATGCCTTTCATAACAAATGTGGCATTACAATTGCGTGCTAGCGTACCATTTCAGTACAGCGCCTCGGCCATCATATTGCTCCTCCCATTTCTCCCACCATCCTTGGTCGTTCAAGCGTCCATACTTATGAGCTCCTTTCTCTGACCAACCCTTTGCGTTGTATTTTTCCCACCTGAACCAAAAAATAATGCCAAAAAGTTCCCTATTAATGGTGACGAGCAACTTCACTTGAACAAAAGTTCCGACTCTAATTGCATTCAAAGAGGTGACAGTAGATTAAAAAAAAGAGTGAATCAGAATCCTACCACTTTTCAAACCAACCAGCCGATCCGGTCCCAGACTTGGCTTGCTTTTGAGCACTTTTCTCAATTCTGGCCAGATTACTGCAACTCGCATGGCAAAAGAGTTTGGATCAATAACACTCTGATGTTTTTTTGCTTTAAAATAACTTGTAAATCGTTTAGTGAGTCGATGTGCTTACAAGGCAAAGGAGGAACAATCTGTAAGTTACGATGAACATCAAAAAATTAATGCACATATTCAGCAGCACGACATGGTTTTGTCAGACAACGGAAATTACCTCAATTCATCAACTCTTAACACCTCTTGCCAAGTCTCCCACCAAGTGTCTCCTTGAGCGTTCTTACCTGTCTTTTCAGCACCTGTTGTCAGAAGTCCCCAACTTTTGTCCCTCAGTCTCTATACGCAAATTGCTCCAAAAGACAAAAACCCTGACACTACACTGCATTATCACGATTCAAGGCGGTGTTTACATGCGAGAATCTGTGCAGCTTAATAGCGTTTGAGATGGTCATCTATAAATAAAACTAGTAGACAACGTCGACTTCATATGAAGCCTGACACACTGAATGTTGCAAAAGACTCATGGAACCGTGTTCATAACTATGGCTGCCACAACACATCAAAGAGTTTGAAGCATATTTACCGAGTTCCTTGTACCCTGTCCAATCGCTTTTCTCCCACCACTGCACCGTATGAAGTCCAGAAACACATGTGTCACCCCCTCCATCGTTGCTTTGAAACCGTGTTTATTATTACTATGATTCAAATGAATGCATGGCGTTGCAGCAAAGGAACATCACAAAAAAGCATTCCTTTAGTTGCTTCCAGAGCTTACATAACCAAGATCATAATCCTTGCCTGCCAGCTCACTTTTTCCTTTTCTTTGTCTTTCTTAATTTCTTTCTTTCTTCTTCTGCATCTTCTTTTTTAAGGCAGAGGAGGAGATTGTTTTGGAGAGCGGGGCGTAAATGAAAGCACAGCAAAAATGATAAATTAACAGTAATAAATACCAAGCATTGACTCTCAAAACATCATAAGGCTTGGTGGATGAAGTGACTTACAGCTTCCTTCCACTCTGAGGAGCCATCTCCGCTACGACCCCCCATGACGGTCCAGCGACACCGGTAACCATTCTCACCGAAATCCACACCAGATTCATTGTACCAGGTGCTTCCGTCTTCATTGACCCCTGACTCACTCTTGATCTCTTTGTTCAAGTTAATCCCCCAATCCTTCTCACTTGCAATCCCTGTGTCTGTAAGCCATGTGAAGAAAAAACAAAAGAAAAAAATTTGCGAAATCACACGCTTTCACGGAAACTCCATTCAGCAAAACAATAGATAACCGCAATCGGATTGCCATATCTGAACAAATCCATTCTCAAGGGATGTCTTTCATATCTCTACGGAAAAGACCATTTTGAGGAACTGAAGTCAATTCAACATTCAAACACAGAAGATTCCTATTACCTCACAAAGGCAAAATCTTAACCCATAATTCACATGATGTATGGAAAGCTTCACGCAAAAGGAACATCGTAGAAATTGAAAGTGATAGTGAGTGGTTACCTCTTTTAGGGGGTGTGTCACGGGGCTGCGACATGCATCGAAGGAGCGTTTGACGGGAGACGGACTCATCATGCTCTCCAGGTTTTCTACGCCTACATACCACCATTTCTCACTTTTCATCGTAACTTCGCTGCCGATTTTATAAAAATATAAAGAGAGAGAGAGAGAGAGAGAGAGAGAGAGAGAGAGCATCCTTGCACTGCGAGGCGAAATGACTGCTTACCTAGCTGAGGCGAAATTCTGAGCGGGGGTCGGCGTCCTCAGCGATGTCCCATTGAATTTTTGGAAGTTGCATGTTGTTCTGTGCTGTACCGATTTAGGTACTTGCTTGGTGGTGGTACAATTACTACTACTCCATCCATCACCTGTCTCCCGCCGTAAATCCACATCATCAAGCTGCACACAATTATTTATGCATAGCCAAAAACCACAAGAAATTGGTCAATGTTGATTTGCTCGTTGCTTAACAACTTCTGCGAAATTCTTCCCATATACGCATCACCAACCGTTTCAAGTTCCCGCAATGAATTCGTTTAGCCGTGTAAGCGCGAATCATGCTTCCACTTACAATTACAGCATTTGCAGATATAAGTGAAGCTCATGGAATATTTTAGGTTCAATACAAATGAACATCAGAACTGCGAGGTAGGTTAATTCTATCAAATACATGCGGTGAACTCCAAAGGTTTCAAAAACATGTAGACTCATTCTTAAGAATACAAGTAGTAGATCAAACCTCGAATGGAGACAATGCACACGAGACTTGCAATGAATTCCGGTTCGGTACAATGGATCTCGACAGTGTGAGCGATGCTGCTAACCCTGCTATCCCACTAAAAAAATCCTGCCTTTCCTTGGTGATATTCCCAGGTAACCAAAGCCCTCTAGCCCTTTTGAGACGGGCCCACACGCCATGCGAGGAAGGTATGGATTGAGGTTGCAGCTGCAGCTGATGCTTATTGTTAGAGCCAGACCTCAGCGAGTGGAGCAGAGCGGTGCCACTGCCGAAAAGCTTCACAGCCATTCAAACCCGCCTCTATTGCAACTCAACTACCTTCTTACAATCCTGATGAAGCTCTTCTATGTATCTCTGTCCGTGGGAATGTTCTCCTACTTCTTGATAAATCCATTGAATTCCTGCCGCCTGCTTGAAATCTTCTGCAGGGACTAGGCACAGAATGCCGCTCTGTGCATTGATTCTGCCTCGAAATGCTAAGTCCGATCGGACACCTGAAAAACAAAGGCGAACGCAAGGGTGGCAATTGATATAACCCCAGGCAATCATAAAACTGGCAACTCCAAAGTATCCGAACTTCTCTTGAGCTCTGACGGGAGGATATGAAAAGCGGCGGTGCTCCACCGACATAGAACAACACACCGCATCAATCGTCGCTGAGACAAACTCGGTCAATTGGTGCAACTAGCTTGCAGAAGCAATATTGAAAGAAAAAAAAAGACAAAACCCAGTTGCGAGATGGGACGTTTAGTACAGGGATGGGATTCTAGTGAGGGGAAGATTTCGCGACGGTTTTGGAGGTTTGTGGAGGGATAGTAATTGAAAAGAAATGCGACGGCCGTGGCCTTTCTTATGCCGCAACAGAGAAACTAGCGAAGCGGAGATTGTCCCAAAGTTCATGCGGTTGCTGAATGAATGTGGTGGATGATGAGAGGACGGTGTTTGTAGTGAAAAGGATCCCCACGCTTCAACCAAAACGTTCCTCGATGCTTGTTCGCCAAATTATTGGAGCCACTCATGAAACTGCTTCACATCACAGGGCTCGCAATACCAATCTTGTTCATGGAGGAAGAAGATTCTGTTTGTAACACTGTGGACAGCATCTGGACATATACTAGTTACTGAATCTTCCTTTTGATTGGTACCACTTGGATTCCTTCTCTGCCGTTTTCTTGGACAGTCACTTGCGAAGGGAAAGAGTTTTTTTAAGCCTAAATAAAAATGAAAACGAAACCATCCGAGTTGCATGGAAAATGAACGATCACGACCCACTACTAATGTCAGAATTTTATGCTTCTCATAATTCAACTGGGTGTGTAAAACCAAGCACCATCATCATGAACTTCCGGAGTCCACATTGCAACACTCTCTGATGGTAGAATCTCAACGAATTGATTCTACGAGAAATTCAAGTGCCATTTCAGTTTGGAGACGCCGTTGTGCCAGTGGAGTTTATTGAGACTAAAACCCAAAACAGAGCCTTTCGGGTGCAGCTCTATGCCAAACATTCTAATGAATCCAAGGTGGTAACCAGACCGCTTTTTGATATTTCTTTACAGTGAAAAGCATATTGGGTGAAGCATGTGGCGTTCCTTGTCCTGCAGGCCCTCGTGGCTGAGAATCCACCACATCTGGACCCGCCTAGCTGGACTCAAGCGGGAATGTAAAGAGCGATTAGGAGAACAAGTCACCTACTCTTGGTCGTCTTGGGACCGCTCCCAGTCACAGTCAAGATGGCGATAACGGCGCCACGTGCCATGCCAGTTGGGAAGAACCCTAATCCTAGAGTAGATGCAGCAAATACTTATGATTCACCACTGTGAACCGTTCTTAAGTCCATTTTATGTAATAACCCACACTTCGGCGGCAAGTCTGCACATCCACACCACCAACAGGTTTGGACTTCCCCAATTCCAAACAACTAAAGTTGAAGCAGCATACAACATTCAAACAACGGTCAATTGACGCGTGAGAGAGAGAGAGAGAGAGAGAGAGAGAGATGTATTAAATCAACCAGAGCAAGCTTGCTCATTCATGGGTTGCAAAAAGCGAACGAGAGGAATTGATTCCGCAAAACTGTACAACTAAGGTTCGTTAATGATTCCCAGCTTCGAAGCAAAGATAATTGACTACGCTATTCAGTGCTTCTTGAAGAATGCCAAAAGAGAGTCATCATTCCTGTAACAGAGTACATGTGCGCAGAGATCGAGAGAGATAGTTCATAGTTTTTAGATACTAAAATGAACAATTGTCGTCTCAGGTTCCTCGAGAAACTCGTAGGCGATGTCCAAAGGTTGTATGGGCCGATCATCTAGAATTGAGTCCTCGTGCTTAGCATTCACGCATACAGCAGCAAATTGTTGCCTAGCTCGAGTGAACTGAGTGCCCTGCATCAGATCGAGTAGGAGAGGCCACTATCAGTTGAGAAACAAACACACAAACATTCTATGTACGAGGGAACTTGCTTTGAGTTAATTGTTTAAGTCACTCAAAGGGGAAATATTCAAAACTAACTAAAGACGAAGAATGTAGGCAGGAAGGCGGGTAAGCGTCGTGCACCAATGGCCTTAAGGTGCAGATGCCGTCCCCTCTAGATTGTCTGCCGAGTGAATTAGAGAACGCAACCGCTCTCTAAAGAAATAATGCAACTGCAGTGGAAAGGCACAGTCAGAATGGCCCGGCGAGAAAAACTAGATTCTTCTTGCCTAGCCAGTCAAACTCAAGGTATCACTCGAAACTTATGTCATTCTTTGTTCTCTATCATCTTTGCGGGAAATGAATGATCCTCATGTCTGCTCTAGCCATGTCGCATCATACGTGGTTGATTGATTACTCCCCTAAGACTTGTAAGAATGTCTGCGACCGTTTGCGAGCCACTAAGTGACCAGGGATCCAAAAATCAAAAAAAAAAAAAAAAAAAAAAAAAAAGGTGCACGCCCAGAATGGAATGTTATCATACATTTGTCACTAACAGCAACCTTACTACCAATAATCCATACACATGGACCTATTTCATGCCCAAGTTACTGATCTAGTGACGAATATAGCAGACCCAATAAGTACCTTAAAAGAAATGCGATGATCAGAGGTATTAACAAGATATATTGCATTATTATCTAACGAGATTTATTCAGTGACCAATTTCATAGCATTCTTAATAAGGCTAAAGTTGTGGGCAATGATGATTTATATCTAAAACTGAGGATGTAAACGTTTCAAATTTTCGTTCACCAAGATAGATTGCATTTTCTAAGCTGGGCCAAAAATTTCCTAACAGAATGAGGAGAATGTAAGCTACAAACCTGCCAAAAGAGATGACCACACATGGAGCATTGCCAGTACTCCTCACAAGTTTCTAGCACAGATGTTGGAATATCCTGGGTTGCAGGAGCTTGGGCCTTAGCTTCTATAGATGTAAGAGGTCTCGGAGTAAACTCTCCATTGCATTTGACGCATCTTGACAGTAGCTCTGATTCAGATACCGTGATTTGAAACACTTCCATCACCTACCGTTCCGTAGACAACAACCAAAAGTCAGCTTATGTCGTTACAGAAGCTCCAGGCAAAACGTTAGTAAATTGCTTGCGTGGTTGGCGCTTCACAAATGGAGAAAGTAGTGAGAGAAGAAGAATAATGAGGAGCCATTACAGTCGGACACAATCACAAAATAGAGGTTTAATTAGACTAGTAAAAATACTTTATTAAGGAGTGCAACAGTTCGCTGAAAATCTAACCTCTTCGAGTTGCTCCCATTTCCCTGATTTCTTGACAAAATATGACAGATTGTCAGGCATCAGTCGCCGGCGCAGCAGTTTGATGTCTTTTGTCAGCAATATTCGACCTTCTCTTGTCGCTTGCTCAACCAATTGCCTGTATTCCGTGGAGTTCAGAAAAGGAACATGAATCACAAGACCAATAACACGCTCTACCAACATTAAATGGATGGCAACAAATAGTTCTTATTACACCAAATGCCATGGCTGCATAAATTAGACGGAATACGGTGGTCTCAGCTCTAGGTTCAAGCTTGAAACGTCGTCAAATAGCACAAAGAGGTGGATAGCACGTAGTTCAATATTTACAAGTATAGAATCTACATATGCTTCACAAAAGTCAAATGTCAATACAACCACAATACCTTGGATCACTTTTCTTAGTAGGAGATGATGCTGCATCAACCCCAACACAACGCAATTGTCGAGCCAATCCTTCAACCTGGAGGGCAAAGATTCAACCATCCCAAGGTCTTAGATGAAATTGAATGTTTGTGACTTAATTTTCAGAGTAAGGATAGCACATGAACAACAACAACCGTAGAGACAAATGCAAATTTTAGGTCAAGGTCCAGGCAGTTCAATCTCAACCGAGCGGCTTCTGATGCCAACAGAAGATAAATATTAGTAGAAAAATGTATCGACATAAATCTAAAACTAGAGACTTTGATAGAGGCAAAATTGACATTTAAGAAGTGAACTCACCATTACATCACACAAGAATTTCGGTGTTCCATCTCCACCTATCCTTACATCCCAAGGTGCAGGTCCAACCCAGTCCAGATTTAATGCATCATCTGGATTCTTAAGTGATTCTCTAGCACGTCGAGCTCTGGGCCTTCGCGCACGTGACCTGCTACGACTTTCCTCATTAACTAGCAAACGCTCTGAGTACTTCTTTACGAACTTGGCATACCTTTCGGATGAAGTTTCCTGTTTGACAGTCCCAACAGGCTCAAGCGGTGACGATGGTGGTGAGGGTCGGAGGGCAGCTTCAACCATTTCTGTGGCACTGCCCATCCTTGGAGAAAAGATGTAGCCTGCGGGAGTGGCGGGAACTGTCTCACGGATCTTACCTGAACATGCAACGACTAAAATATCAGGACGCATATACATTTTTGGTATAAGTCATCGATAAGTGTATAGCAAAAAATACTACCTGTCCTAAATTTTCACTAATACCTGATAAAAATTTCACTCATGAAATATGCACTGGTTAAATCTTGTAAAGCCACCCATAAAGTTCAGAGGGCACCAATTTTTTAAGTTTTTGAGACTATTGCTTTCAGATATAATCACACATCATCACTAAGTAAAGCAGAATTAACAAAACAACCCCAGCCTTGTTAGCCGGCTTTTGTACCTGTGAAAAGCTTTAGTCCTGGTTCTCTAAATTCGCGAAGGCTCGATGCTCGCTGTTGAATCATCGAACCTGCTTTATCACCTGCTTCAACAAGGGTTGGAGCTGGACTGATCAAGGCAAAGGCATCGGATAGCAATGTGTCAAATAGAGCAAGTAAACAGTGTGTATCAGCTGCAGCATAAAGAATTTGATCTTGTGAAAGAGGCCGTTGCTCCCAATTACTGCACTGAGCATCCTGCGATGTGTCAACGACATAAGAAATTGCCTTGGCGCCCAAAGCTGTAAACATCCAGGACTTAAATGCTCTTGTCTACGCCTTCAAATGTGCAAATGAACCAGAACTCGGTAGAATAAAAATTGCAAGTCAGCAACTACCTAGACCTAATTAACTAGTAATTGTTGCACATATCCCTTGTATCATACGGCAGGAAACTTTTACCTTACACAAAGGGTGACCAAGAACTGCTTTCGAAATCGCAGTAAGGCTATGTGTTCCTCCTAACACAAACCTCTTCCCCTTGTGCTTTAAATTAGAAAAATTTACATGAAGAAACTCTTTATACAACTTAGCAATGTCAATGTAAGGCTCCACCTGCAAATTTTAACAATAATGCTGACTCAGAACTAGAGCGTTATAGCGGTAAAGCTGATGGAAAAGAAACAGGGTTGTCCAAATTGAGGAGGAAAAACTATCTATGCCAAACGTTTCTATTAAGTCACCAATCCTTCTCATCTGGAACTCAAAGCGACACAAACCAAAGATTGCAAGAAGGTCAAAGAGCTGGAGAACAAACTAAAACACCTTATCAAAGCATCCATTTGCTTCTGGGCCAGGAAAAGAAGCAGAGAGGTGGAGCTGATCTTGCTTAAACGCGAATCCCAGCTTCAAAATTCTAGGTGAACACAACATTGTTTTCAATGGAAATGCAAAATCTGCTGCTGAAAGAGCAAGCAAATCCAATACAAAAATAACTTCCTCTCCAGTGATGAATTCGCTCTCTTCCGGTGTAAGTTCTTCCCCTTTCCATTCGTCTGTGCGTCTAGGGAGCACCGGTACTGACTCAATTTCCTCAACCACTTTTATATCCTGCACATCCATTTCAAATTCATCCTCACCAGCATCGGAGAATTCATGATCAATATCAGGATCATCTTCTCCATCTGATACTGATGTGATCTGGTCATCAGCTCTACCCACGTCAGCTCCTATTTCTGAAACTTGCATTTTCGGACTTCTGGATTCCGTCTCTCCAGTATCATCGCTTGGTTGTCGTGAGCGTTCAATGTCGTTGCCTTGGGACGAACGGTTCCCATCAAAATTCCTGTTCACTCTATTTTCCTCAACCTCTGTGTCTTTACTCCTGAGTCCGTCTTTCTTCAACACATTTTCATTTTCAGGAAAGATATAATTCGATTCAGCATCTCGAGAATCATCCTTACTTAATTTGGCTAACTTGGCTTCTGTATGTTCTGCAGGTTGTTCACCTTCATCATGTTTCATTAACTCCTTCTGTGCCTGAGCAAGCACCTCGAGTAGATTGTCCACATTCTGCTCGGGGTCTCCAGTAGTAACATTCTTCGGGGTGACACCCTCTTCCGCGGACTTTTGGTCACAGCCTGAAAGATCATCCGCCAGCTCGCAAATCTCTCCATTTCTTCCTAGAATAAGGTATTTCAAGCCATCCTCAAGCTTCGTCAGCGTGGATCGATTGTCAACGTGCGTTTCTTCATGATGTTGCTGTTTGGCATTTCGTGCCTCTTTCAACATTTCTTCCCTCTCTTTCCGATCACGCTTTTTCTTCTCCGCTCTCTCCCTCTTCAAATTCTTCCACTCCATTCTCACCTTTCGCTTCTCTTTTTCAACCTCCTCCTGCATCTTCTCCCTCTCCATCTCAAGCTCTAGTCGCTGGTTCTCCAGCTCCTCTCGCTGCCTCTCCACAATCGATTTCTCAGCACTCAAGCTCTCTTCAGCCTCTGCCCTAATTTTCCTCGCAAAAAGAATTTTTTCCATTGCCGTCCAAGCTTTCGACTCTTTCCTGATGCGGCAAGAAATCTGCATAATCGAAACGCGCGGCGAAACGCCAGCTCTTCGCACAGGCTTCCACTCCGCATCCATTGCTACAATCATGGCCTCTTCCAAAGCTATCAAAAAGACTTCAAACTCTTCCGTCCGTGGCGAATCCACAAACAGAATTCGCTCGCGCGGAATCAAAAGCTTCCAAAACGAAGAATCATCAGTTTGTTCTCCATTTGTGCTCTCCAACAATACTCCAGTCTCCATCGCTCCTTAACAACTCAACACCAATTCTTAACCCTAATCTCTCCTCTACCACAACTCATTTCACGATTGCAACAAATTTCACGATTGCAACAATTTTCACTTCTCACAATCAATCCCTTAGAACTAAACACTGAATCACACCACGACCTAACTGGTAGACAGATGTCCTAATACCAATCAAACCCCAATTCCGCAATAAAGGGCTCCAAGTAACACCAAACTCGCATTAGAACAAGCTACACGTCCGAAAATGATTTTTCCCGTGTGCAAGCTCTCAAGTGAACTAAGCAATTACACAATTAGAATTGAATTGAGACAATTTTGTGAAATTGCATGAAGTTGACATTCGGTAGCTGCGACACTAGCTGGTAGGGAGCGCTTTTTTGAAGACCAACACAAAACTCTGAAGAATACCAATATTTGCCGACAATGTCCCGAGAGATTACGAAAAAAAATTGTACAAACTTTCCAAACACATGCAACAGCAACTCCAGGACTAGGAAACGAGTGCAAAGACAGAGTGCAAGGCCGAACTGAAGCGATAATCAGGAGTCTGCCACCTGGTGTGAGTGCGGCGTCGAACAGTGAGAAAAGTGCGGAACAATCCATCTCGGGGACAGAAACCCACTTAATATCGGATTAGTGACTTAATCCTGTTGTTAATTCATAAGTTTTTTATTAATCAACTATCAGGGTATCAATCCGGGTAACAATCTCAGGAGGAGCATAGAGAACGATGGGGAACGCTGAGAGCGGAATTTGACCTAAAGAACCCTAAATACTTAGCTGAGGATTGATTTGAGACTTTGTGCAGCACTTCGCGAGCGGGGTGGCCACAGTACGAGTATCTCATATCCATTTTGCTCACCCTAGCTCCCGAATCGTTGCAGTGTGATCGCTGCAGTTAGATACTATCTACAATTCCGGTTTTTTTGAGTGGCGAGGGCGAAGATTTGGTCCGCTGAAGTGGTTTGTGGAGCGTTGTGAACTACACGGGAGGTCGTTGCGCAGCAGTTTGATGATCATTTTGGGGCGCGGAGGGTTTCGTTGTGGCCCTCAGGTGATGTGCTGTGCAGCAGTACGGTGGTGACAAAATTGAAAGTTTTGAGTTAGGGATTTAGACAGGAGTTTCAAGCATGGCGGAAGTTCAAGAGGCGCCGCAGGCGCCGCACAGTATTGTACCGCCGGGAATGGCTGCAGAGGAGGACAAGCCACGAATCCAGTTGAATATCGACTGGAGTAACGTGGATTTGGACTCCATTATGTTGCCCCCCGGAGATGATATGGGCATCAAGAGGTACGTACTCACGACTGATTTCATTTTTTTGGATGTTTTGGGACCCGGAACAAATTTCTACAATATTATAGCTACAGTCCATGTGTTGGGAATTGGTCACGCACAGCTCTAACCTCATTCTTAGATTTCGGTGATGCATCAGGGCGAGGGTTTAGGTCTTCCTGTTTTATTGGAAAATGAGTTCCATCTAAATGTGGCTTATTCGTCATCTGTTTTCGCTATAAAACAACTTGTTGTTGGGATTCAAAACTGACGTAGATAGATTTACCAAGTTATGGAAGGCATTTGGGAAATTTCTGTGATACAAGTAGTTTCTTATGGAAGTCTTCCGCCGCCATAGGAGTAATCGCAATCATATTCGTACTTCGTTTGCATGACAGCAGCAATATACGACAGTCTATTGTACCTAGTTTCTTTGAACCCTACACTATTTCTAGACAGAACATATCTTCCAGATTTCCCTTGTTTTGAGATATGGTGAACGTGTTTTTGCAGTGATGACGAAGAGGAGGAGGAGGAAACCTTAGAAACTGACACAGGTTTTGGCAATGTTATCGTTGTTGATAACTTGCCGGTCGTAGCTTCTGAGAAGTACGAAAAGCTTGAGGGTGTCATTCGCAAGATTTTTGGACAAATTGGTGCTATCACTCCCAATGGACTCATGATGCCACGGGATGAGTCTGGCAAGACCAAAGGTTTTGCTTTCATCGAGTATAGTACTCCCCAGGTAGTCCTGAACTTCGTATTGTGTGCATGAATACTCGTCCAACCGGATGCTGACCTGTTTGGATGTGATTGTTTTGCTTAACTTTAAGGAGTACCGGGACGGATACACAGGAATAGTAATTTCTAAGAAAGACTCACAATTTCGGGGAGGTTTTGGGAGCATGTAGTTTGACTAAGGTTTGGGTAGGGAGCTTGCGAATGATATTTTCTGTTTTTGCTGATACCAGGAGGCACAGACAGCTCGTGAGCAGACTAATGGCTACAAGCTTGACAGGTCGCACGTCTTTGTCGTGAACATGTTTGACGACTATGATAAGTACATGAAAGTGCCTGATGAGTGGAATCCCCCGGAAATCAAGCCGTACACTCCTGGAGAAAATCTCGTTGCCTGGCTCACAGATGATCGTGGTCGGGACCAGTTTGTTATTCGTTTTGGATCTGAGACGGAGGTCTACTGGAACAATGCAAGTCAGGGGAAGCCTGACCCAGTGTATCACCGCACCGTAAGTACTTATTATATTTACCCTACACTTCAAATTAGAATTCGTTGCGTGTCTGAGTAAGCTTCAAGTGTGCGGATTCTAACAATGCTATTTTGGGGCCAGTTCTGGACAGAGAGCTTTGTGCAATGGTCACCTTTGGGAACCTATCTGGCAACTATTCACAGGCAGGGTGCTGCAGTATGGGGTGGCGAGAAGTCCTTCAATCGTCTCATGCGTTACATCCATCCCCAGGTACTTAGCGTGCTACTTCTTCGACCTATGCCCAGCAACTATAGTAGCCTTTTGGACACGGTTATAGCTTTCTACCTTTCCGATCCTAGATCGAGGGGTAACATCAAGAGTAATGAGAACTGATGTATGCCTCAACTCATTGTGAGCAGGTGAAATTGATTGATTTCTCTCCAGGAGAAAAATTCATGGTAACATACAGCAGTCATGAACCCAGCAACCCAAGGGACACTCAGGTGTGTATAATTTTGCTTTTAATGGAGCTGGATTTTTCTCGACTTTAAGGTTCTATCTAGTTGGAAGGTTACCTCTTAATTGGACGTATGTGCCTTTTTCTTTTGATCTCTGTCTTGTTATTGTAATCCCTGCTCGGCACCTTTCTGGATCCTGATAGAGCTGTGATGTTAGCAGTAGATTATGCATATGGTTCATATATATAACTCATTAACAGTCTTACAATCTGGCATGATGCAGAGGGTTACCTTGATGGTTTTTGATGTTCGAAGTGGCAAGATCCTCCGTGAGTTCAAAGGCAGTGCAGATGACTTTGCCACTGGTGGTACCGGTGGTATTGCTGGTGTTTCATGGCCTGTGTTTCGGTGGGCTGGTGGGCGTGAAGACAAGTACTTCGCTCGAATTGGTAAAAACGCTATTAGTGTGTACGAGACTGAGACGATGGGCCTGTTGGATAAAAAATCATTGAAGGTGGAGAATGTGGTCGATTTCTGTTGGTCACCAACCGACCCACTGTTGTCCCTCTTCGTTCCTGAAGGTGGTGGTGGCAACCAGCCTGCCAGGGTGGGTTTCGAACTGGCTCTTTGATTATGTATGTAATCTACGGTGTGGCATTCCTGAAGTTTGTTGAGGTGCGACAAAATTTTATTTGGCCATCTTCATGTATGCAACTCTGAAAATAATAAGTCGGAGTGCTTACGGCTTGCTGCATCCTTCAGGTTAGCTTGGTGTCCATTCCTAGCAGAGAGGAATTGCGACAGAAGAACCTCTTCAGCGTCAGTGACTGCAAGATGTATTGGCAAAGCAATGGCGAGTACTTGGCTGTGAAGGTCGACCGCTACACTAAGACCAAGAAGAGTACCTACACTGGTTTTGAGCTTTTCCGTGTGAAGGAACGTGATATTCCTATCGAGGTTCTTGAACTTGAGAACAAGAACGACAAGATTATCGCTTTTGCATGGGAGCCGAAGGGTCATCGTTTCGCTATCATCCATGGCGATGGGCCTCGACCCGACATTTCTTTCTACTCTATGAAGGGACGCGTGACTAAGCTCACTACCCTGAAGGGAAGACAAGCGAATGCTCTGTACTGGTCCCCACTTGGGCGGTTCATCATTCTTGCTGGTAAAGCCCGACTTGATCCTCGTGTGTGGTTGAAGTTGTATGTTTCGTTTTGATTGGTGATCCTCATCCAATTCGAAAGGTGTTGGTGATCCTTTCTGTTCTCTATGGTAGTGAATGTGGTGGCTTGTGGAAGCTGAGTACGATATTTATTTGTGCTTTCAGGCCTAAAGGCCTACAATGGTCAGCTTGAGTTCTACAATGTGGATGACCTGGAGACAATGGCGACAGCTGAGCACTTTATGGCCACGGATGTCGACTGGGATCCTACTGGCAGGCAAGTGAAAGTCTCCTGGTGTTGTTTAGGGAACTGTTGTCTGATTTTGAAGTGAATGTTTCTGGTTTTGTTGTGAATTACCACACTAAAGACGTATCAACTTTAACTAATCTATTGCTGGGCATTTTTTTGGGTCGGCTAGTAATATTGGGTGTTCCCATTGTTCTGCAGGTTCTGTTCAACTTCAGTGACATCTGTTCACCAGATGGAGAACGGTTTCAATATATGGTCATTCCAAGGAAAGCTGTTGTACCGTCTGCCAAGGGACAGATTTTTCCAGGTATGTTTGGTGGTTTTAGGCCTCCAATGAACCACCTGACGACGAAGTTGGATTTTGATCTCAAAGTTTCAGTAATTCTGGGTTCTCTGTTTGTGAACCCTATTTATTCACAATCTGCCCTTCTGCACTTTGAGTGTGTTTTCCGAGTGTGGAGTTTGTCTGTTTGGAATGAGTTGTATCCGACGAGCTCACGGAGTGCTGTGTTTGCCAATCGAAGTGACAATTTGCATCTGTTTATTCAGTTCTTGTGGCGCCCAAGACCTCCCACACTTCTCACTCCTGAGGACGAAGCTGAGATAGCCAAGAACTTGCGCAAGTACAGCAAGAAGTACGAGGCTGACGATCTCGCAAGATCTCTGGAGGGCACCGAGAGGGATACTGAGAATCGCCGCAAGCTTGTGGACGAGTGGAAATCCTGGGTCGCCCAATGGAAAGCAGCACAAGAGGAGGAGAAAGAGGATCGCCTCATCCTTCGTGACGGTGTACCGAGTGACACAGAGGAAGACTACGAAGCGGAAGAAGTGGAAGTAGAAGAGATCATCAACATTGAAGAGGAAGTTATTGCATTCGGATTCGACAATCAGGACTGATTTTGCATAGAATTGCAGCCTGGTCACAGGTTTTTGTAGCTCAGTTTGTTCAATTTGCTCCAACCGCATCTTACTTTGAAACGCTGAAGATGTGGACAAAGCAAGCTACGTTAACATCTTTACAGATTCGCTAGCTATTTTAGATGGTAGATTCTTTGTTCGTGTGTAGTTCAGAAAGGGCTTTCTTCTTTGTTATGTACTATGCCATCCGTGAATGAAACAATGAAGGTTTTTGCCTTAAACCTTCGATGTTCCCAAATCCCCTCCGACCATCTTATATAATACCTGAAAGCAGATCATTGAAGCTTTGCTGTGTAGAATCCGTCCACCTAATTTACGATGTCGCTGTATGATAAACACCCTTTAACAGAAAGTAGAACACGGGAATGTCACCAAAATTCTCAATGTCAACTAGCTGGATGTTGCGACATAGTAACGGCTTCTGATCATTTATTAATGGTAACTATAACATCGATTGAAATAAGATGGACCCTCGGGTGGTGGGCAAACAACTCACGACGGAGCACCATGCATTTAAGAGTCCTCGACAGGAAACTTCCAAAAACAAGTAGACGACACCACCATTTCGGATTGACCAAATATAGCAGTATCCGTTCATTAACTTCCAGTGTCTGTACAAAGCCATGCCAATGTACAAAAAAGAAAAGAAAAGAAAAAAAGAAACTAAGAAACAACAGTAACAATAAGAGAATCTCCTGCGAAAAAGCTGCGGTTTCTAACTCAGACTGCGGGTGTCGCTGCAAAGCTACCCGGTTTCGCATCAACATCGCCGAAGCTTGGAGGCTGAGAAGACGCCTCCGGCGAGACAACCCCACCCCTGGCGGCGAATCGCAGCGCATCGGCTTGCTGCGCACCCACGTCCCTGATGGTGCTCATTCTCTGATCGGACACGGCCTTGTCCTCTCGTGCCGTGGCGATGGCTTCCGCCTTTGCATCCTTGTTGAAGGGGTGGAGCAGGATCTTCCCCACCGCCCGAGCATTGAAAGCGGCGTGGTCCACGATTCCCCGAGCCCCCGAGGTCGCGTTCACAATCTCCTCCTTCGCGGCCGCCTTCCTCTCTAGCTTCTTCGGGCTCTGAGCACCTGCGCCTTCCATGCTTTCCCTCTCACCCAGCACTCTCACAAACTTCTCACTGAAAACCTGCCTCACACTTCCGCTGTAATCACGCTACACCGACACTTTGCTTCTGTGCTCGTTGTCGAGTTCTCCGCTACAAACCCACCTCGATGACTCCAGGAAAGCAAATCGGTGCAACAACTTCAGCAACCGTGTAAAACACGAACAAACCCACCGAATCTCCGAAGGAACGTAAAAGCACACTTGGCAACCATATGACGAATCCACTTGGCGACGTATACGTTTGCCAACTGGACCTCGATGTTGGGAATTCTTGGATTGTAATGGCGTATTGTTAAGGCATTTCGTAGCGTAATGCTGCTCCACGTTCCCTTTAATGTTACCCTGCGTTCCTTATTGTTCCCAGCCACACCTTTAAGGAGTGTGAGTGTTCCCTTAACTTTTCATATTGACATGTGAGTTTGAATTACTCATGTGCATATGGACTTGTTCCTGTATTTTATTTTGAAATCCATCGTGTTTGTCAATAATCTTTCAATGAAAGGTTATTGTTGAGAAGTTCTTCACTATTTAATTGCTGTACAATAATTTTTTCCATCCACATGTGTAAACCAAAAACCTCAATGAAAATAAGATTCATCAAAAATGTATTGTGTGTTTGATTATAATAATAATATGGTCAAATAGAGCGATACTTTGAATATCGAAAATAAATAACAAAATCTGAATGACAGCTTACGTCAAGAATGAAATGAAGAAAGCACTGGGATTAACCATTTCATAAGTTTACCAAAAAGCTAAAAAGATCGTTCAACAAAAGCGAGTTGCGTGGGATATGATTGTACATTGAGGTGAGAAATCATCGTGATAATTCTGTTCCTCGAACTACCATTATCCATCACTACCTCAAGACCTTCAAAGATCACTATCACAATGTAGATAATTTCAACATGAACATTTAATCGTTCTCGAATATTACAATTCCTTGAAAATAAGACAATGGATTTTCTAATCAGATTTCTAAACAGCTTCAAGAGTACCCAACTGAAGCTTGTAGGATGTTACATGGAGGCACTTGCTGTCTCCAGCTTCATTTGCAGCTCCCTGGACTTGGACTGCGTTCCAACACAGGGAAGATGTCAAAACTTATGACGAAAACATTCAGAAAATTAATGTAGAATGATGATAATATCCTCAGGAAAATATGTAGGTGTTCATACACCACAGTACCTGAAAGCCTTTGGAGCGTCTCAGCAAAGGATCAAGACAAAGAGCAGTGGAAAGAGCTGCTAGAGCACGCTCCACTTCGCCCATCGCAGACAACGCATCTGCCTGACGCACGAAAGCCTGCATAAATCAAGCGTCAGATTGCAATCATCCCACTCATCCAATGTACGAAGTGAAGAAATGAATGTACACACAACCATTTTTCACATGACAGAAGAAAAAATAAGTAAACGAACAAATAATAATCAATTAAAGAAATGATTCGTACCTGGGCCCACTTGGGAGATATTGCCTCAGCCACTTGGGCGTCATTTAAAGCCCCTTGGAAGTTCCCTTGCGCTAATCGTAAGGCAGACCTGTATTACACTTGTCAAGTAACTTAAGATGATCACTGTTCTTTGACAAACATTTTGAGTATTAAAAAGTCAATCGTACCAAAGGTAGAAAAGTATATACTTATGAAGAATGAAAATGATACCTGTTGGCATAGATAAAGTGAAGACCTCCGGATGGATTGAGTTCTATGGCCTGCAGATGTAATTGAATCGTACCAACAACATGAGAGCTTTGAACAAAACATATTTCAGGTCTGACTTGAGGGTATACGAGCTTCGTGGTTGTACATGTTTCTCAGAAGACCTCGTACTCTGTCGTGCAATGATATTGAAGTGCATATTTGAATTCGAATAGAAAGGGAATGACAAACCTCTGTGTACAATCCCTCAGCTTCCACAAGATTTCCTCGTTCAAAGGCTTTGTTAGCCTGCTGCTTCAGATGCAGCGCTTGGAGATTGTTCTCCGGATTAGAGGCCCCACACTGCAGAGCCAGGAGACGTGCAGCATGCGCCGGAGTGTTACAATGGCTAACCATCATTTCAGATGGTAAAATCACCAAATTAGGACCGTTGCCACATATCCCTGCAATCAAGCAACACATCAACTGTGAGAAAATCAGTACAGAAATCATTGCAATACCATTCGATACCATGTGTCATAATTCACTGGTTAAGGTGACTACCAATACAACTGCATGATTCCACGGTCACGTTGGGCGGTGCCAAGCTCCGGATAACGTCTAACATTTCCAGGCTCCCACTCTTTCTGCACGTCTTGTTGATGCAAACTCGGATCTCATGCTGCTGCTCTCGCAATTTTTGGTTATCGGCCGCATCTGCCCTAACAACCAGCCTCGTCTTACTACGAGGCTCTTCCTTCAAATGCCTTTTATACCCAAGAGCTGGTGAATCTCTGATCAGATATCCATATTTGGGATTGGAACATGGCTTACAATAACCACACTTGTACTCATGACGGGATATGAGGAGATGGCCAGCTCTAGCTAGTCCAGCTGCTGCCATGGATGCACGGCAACCTAATCCGTTAACAAAGTACCTCACTCCACCGATTGATCAGATTTGAACACTGACGAACCAGAAATTCTGCTCTCCTGCTACACCTAACAAAAGCAATAAAACCACTTACAGACACACCTAACAAAAGCTATAAAACCACTTACAGACACAGAAAGATCTTGAGGTCGTCAAATTCTGGTACCGCAAGGGGCAATCTGCACCGCGACACGGGACCCAGGAATGAACTAAAACTAGGGCTGCATAACACCAAACAATACATTATCAGCTCAATTCACTAGCGGGAACGTCCGTTTCATCTGTCTGCCTAACTGTCTGCGCGGCAGCAATCGACTCGAAACGCCTAAGAAACGAAAACCCATTCGATATCAAGTACCAGCCAACGTCCAGCCTCGTGTAAATGCGCATGTCCAAGCGAGAAAATAACGAAAGAGCAGCAGCAGCTGCAAAAAGCGGCGCTGAAAGCTCTGAGCTCGGACCCAGGTGGCGAACTCAAGAGCAATCTACACGAGAAATTGGGTAGCTAAAGAGGAATCGGCGAGATGGGTAATGAGCAACGAGGTGAGGAAGGCGGGCGACGCGAGGCGCAATCCAGCGCGACGAGAAATCGGCAGCGTGGGCAGGGCGATGGATCACAGCGAGCTCTGCGGTGCTCCGGCGGTGGAAAAAGTTCACCTGGACGCTACCGCTCCCGCGCGGCCACGGCACCATCCCCGCCGCAGCCGGTCACTCGATAGCACTTTGCCATGGCGGCAACCGACACCTGGTCGCGTGCATAACGAGCTTAGGTTGATCAAAAGAAAAAGAACTCTAGATTTATTTCTCCACTATTGGATTTGCAACTAATAAAAACCAACCACATTCATCATGATTATCATATTCTTCAACAAGGGTGGATCTATTTTGTAAAAGTATAAGTCTATTTAACATTCTCCTAATAATATTGTCCACAAAACTTGTACATATAATGGAAATAACAAGGAAAAATCTATATATCATATCAAATTTTTTAAAACTCTATTATGGAGCATAGTATCATTTAAAATAAAATATTTAAAAATACTTTTTATTACCATAAAAACCACATATGTAGTATTTTCAATCAAAGTTATTAAAATAAAAGATTTTATTGTAAATCCAAAATTTATGTTTTGTTTTACTTGTAGTTTTAATGTATTCAATGATATATTAGTATGTTTGTTTAATATTGCAACTAATGTATTTATTTTAGATTATTTAATGCATAAGTACTATTTGATTCATATATTTAGCTTCATTTTTTATAATACTAAACATATTATAAACAAATCATGATATTTAATTTTATAAGTCTTTTTTTAAATAAAAATATTTTATTATATAAATTATTTTAAATTATAAATATAATAATTTATATTTAAATAAACTAATTTGAAGACATGTGCATAAAGCCAAATAAATTATTGCCAATAATATCTTTATTTTTATATACTATAATTCTTCAAAAACTTGCAATTTAATTATTAACTAGATGAACTCGTGTCATTGTCATAGAATGTATGACTCAAATGAAGCTATTTATATGAGCCAAAGAATATTTTTCAAATTCAAATACAATACAATACAATACAAATAGAAAGAAATAAAATAGACAATAGAGCTTTTAGACATGAAGTAGGATAAGTAATCTATGTTGTTGTCATAGATAATACACAAAAAAGTAATTAATTTAGTTCAAGGAACTACTTGTGAAATACAAAAAAATTAAATTAAATTAAATTAAATTAAATTAAAAAATTATAAAAGTATGTTAAGACATTTAAAGATGTACTAAAGTCAATAAATTAATTAATTAAAATAAAAAATAAAAAAATAAATTATTAGTATTTATTTAATTAAAACTTTTAGAAAAATAATATTCAGCATGGAATTTAAATTGCTATTTGTAAGAAGAAGAATCTTGATAGAATGGGAAGAAGTGAATTAAGAGAATCCTACATAAAGTTGACTATGAAAAAAAACAAGTTGTCATAGATTCAAACCAATATAATTCATCAATTATCTTTGGGATTTGTTTATTGTTATTATAAGTGCAAGACAAATTGGAAATTTCTTCCTCTTTAAAATAGATGGAAGTTCTTTTATTGTAGAAGTTAATATAATTTGGAGAAAAACACCAAGTTTTGAGCAAATTTTCCTCCAAGAGTTCTTGCTTGAAGGACTCGATCTATTAGTCATATAATTACCAACTGGTTTCCATTACAAAGTCCTTGGCGATGAACAAGTTTCTTAATAGCATCACTAGAATCTCACTCTTAAGTCAAAGCCTTGATTAGGACATTCTAGATGGATTAAGCAACTTGATGAATTCAATTAGATAAATATTATTGTTGTTAATACTATCTTCAACAACAACTTCATCAGTGCTTAGATATTCTTGTTCTTCTCTAGGAAATATGGCCATAATCTTCTCATTAATATCCTCTACATCATCATTCTATGCAGATAAAATGATTCTATCTCTAAAAAAGTCATCATTTGATACACCGTTTTCTGATAGCCTTAAATAAACAACATCTACTAAAGATATTAATTTTTTATTAACAATCATATAATCAAGAAGTGTAACTACATTCTTAGGTAATAAATTTGTATTATTTTGAATCTAGTAAGAAATAAATAGAAATATTAATTAATGATAATACAACCATAATATCATAGACATATATATTTGTTTCAATAATTACTTATATGATTAGGTAGAAGTAAGTAAATATAGAATAATTTCATAAAGTCTTTTAGTAAAGCTTTCTAAAAGCTTCATAGATGTGATTTTGAATTTAGATGTATTTGTAGGTCAAAAACTTAGCCAACAAGTTAACCACATGTTGGTAGCTTGTAAAACAAGTTAATTTCGCATAATAGCTTGTGGAACAAGCTAACCATGTGGCACATATATAGATAACTTGCCTTACAAGTTAAGACATATGGCTAGCAAAGTCAACATGTTTTGGAGGTCCTATAGGACATTGCCACATAGCTCCTAGTTAAGAGTATATATGGAGGCAAGAGTGAAGTCTTCTTCACTCTTTTCAATGCCGTTTTATTCCTTAGTCTTATTTCAAGACTTTTTAGTCTTCTTATTTTTGGCAATAGCCATTCTAGTTAATATTACATTACCTTTTGAGTGACTTTTCAGTTCTCTTCAATGACAAAAGAGGGTATCAAGGATTCTTTTTCTTTTATATTCATGTCCTTAACAGTTTGATAAGAGTACTAATATACTATTTTTATCTTATTTTAAAAGTGAGTGAATTATTCTATTTCTATTGTTGTATTTTAAAGGTTGCGGACTACACACCTTTTAAACAAAAAAATCCCATTTTCTAATATTGATCTTTCCTTAAAGAGAGTAAATCATCTTTCTTTGTAGAAATTTTTATTAGAGGTTGCGGATTATCCTCCTCTAATTTAATTTTTTGAATTTGTTTCAGTTGCTTATGGAAGGAAAGATTATGGACGCTATACCTAGGTGAAGTGAGAATAGATTTGTAACTATTGCAGATCTTCATGAGCTTGTCAATACTCTTAGAGTGGAAATCTCACATATTTCTAATGTGAATCATGGAAGTACTATGCCTATACTTATCGAAGAAGTTTAGAGTCTGTGGCAAGAAATTGTGCAATTGAAGAAAGCAAGTAGATCGACCTCACAACCAAATCTAGAGAGTTTTGTTTCTACAACTATGATGAGGATAAGAATTAGTATGCCAGAGAATTTTGATGGAATAAGATTAAAATTTTGAGGATTTTTGTAATAAATCAAGATCTATCTAAGGTTGCATCTTTTTCAATATTTTGATGGATTTACTCAAGTTGGATTCAAATGCATACTTCTATCAAGAAGTGCTCTCTCTTGATTTGCATCTTTAATTGAAAAAGATTTGTGATTCGTTTATGATTTGAATTCATTCCTAGAAGTGTTTACAGTGACATTCGAAGATAGTGATCGAGAATAAGTAGCAAAGACCAAATTCTTATCTTTACAATAAGGATCACAATTAGCCACTACATATGCTACTAAACTCTAAAATCTTGCTTGCGATGTGGATTGGAATATCAAAGCACTCATCAATCAATTTTGATATAGATTAAAAGATAGTGTCAAAGATTTGTTAATAAAAATATCAAAAATAGAATCTTTGTAATAATTTATTGCTCAAGCCATTGCATGTGATAATTGATTATTTAAAAGGCATCAAGAACAAAGACTTGGCTAGAGAGGAACAAGTCAAATAATGGGGGTAGCTTCCAAGTTTTTTGAAATATATTCATCAAGGCGGAAATCAATGCAAATTAATATAATATGTTTTAAAACTCTCATAGAGCAAGAAAAGACTCGACATTATTGAGAGGATTTGTGTTTATACTATGAAGAAGCTAAGCACACTGCTCAACATTATCCAAAAAAACAACACAATTACAAAATGAAGAATACAATTACCAAAGAAGATGATGTGTCAAAAAATGAGTTTCTCTAGCTATAATAGGTATTGTGCAGCTGGAATCATGTGCAATACCTAGTAAAGGTCTTATTCTCTCCTCAGAGCAGTCACCTTGTTTTACAATAGATGTGCATTTAGGACCTAAAAATCACAAAGTCTTTGCTTTATTAGATTTAGAAGCCTCTAATTATTTTATAAACAAAGATTTTGTCAAAAATCAAAAAATATCTTTAAACAAAAAAACTAAATCCGTACATGTAGAAGTCATAGGTAGTCATTTATTGTCTTCTGGAAATATTATCCATGAGATTATTCTTTTAGATATAACAATTAAAGATCATAAAAGCATAGTAGTATTTAATGTAATAAGATCTCCTTTCAATTCGGTTATTTTAGGATCATTGTAGCTAGAAAAATATAACCCTCAAATAGACTAGATTTCTCATAATCTTAACTTTTCTCATAGTATAATCTAAGATCAAATTAGCAAAGTAGAAGTATAAAAGGCTAATACTTCTAAACCTTTACAAGTAGGTGCGAGAGCTTTCATGCATGTCGCAAAAGAAGGATCATCTTTTGCTATATATGTTATATCCATTTCTAATGGTGAAAAAATGTCAGGTGATATTCTTAGCCAATATGAAGAATTTCAAGATGTTTTTGAAAAGAAGAATGTAGGTATTCTTCCACAGTATCGACCTTATGATTGTTCAATTGATTTGCAAGAAAGAGCTCAATCACTATTCAGACCAATCTATAGCTTATTGTAAAATGAGTTGGCTGCATTAAAGGAGTACATTAACATGAACTTGGCAAAGAACTTCATATGTCATTCTAAATCCCCAGCCGGAGCTCCTATCTTATTTGTAAAGAAGAAAGACGGATCTTTGCAGATGTATATGGATTATCGAGGACTTAATAAGTTCACCATCAAAAATAGGTATCCTTTGCCTTTGATTTTAGGACTTCTTGACCAACTCAATCAAGCAAAGATCTATACCAAAATAGATCTATGAGGAGCATACAACTTAATTCGTATCAAAAAAAGAGATGAATGGAAGACTACTTTTTGAACTATGCATGGACATTTTGAATATAATGTCATGCCTTTTGGACTCACCAATGTACCGACCA